TGTATACATATGTATTGTAAAGTCTCTCTCTCTGTATATATATAGATAAGTAGATATATAAATCCTTTGTAATCTGAGCTGACCTGACATGGCATATGGTTCAGTCATGGCTTAAACTTCAGCTCCAGACTCCAGAAGTTTGAGACAAAATTCTTTGTTTCACTCACTCTAGACAGCTGCCTCTGATGTATTGTTAAGCAGAACCAGCACCCAAGAACTCAAAATGCGCCATTGCATGTCTTGGTTTTGACCCAGACCGGCAGTCTTATCAGATGGATGGGAGAGACTCAGATGCAGTTCTTTGAAATCTGGTGACATTTGTGCAGACAATTCATATGTGGAGACACAGATAAAGGCACAATCCTGATTCTTTTTTTTTTCTGTTTGAATTCATGTGTTAACTTTTTACCACTTTTCTTTTTAATCCATTAAAAATAGGTCTTGTTAGGAACAAACTGGTATCTTTAAACCAGGGCATTTTGTGCCTGCTGGATGAATCTGTTGCCTTTATAATCCCAATTCATTTTATAGATATTTCCATCAACAGCTGCTTATAATTTGTATGAATGACTTTCTTTGATGCTCTATAAAAATCCTAGCCATAGAACAACAGAACAAGCATGTGCTGTTGCTCTGTTGGAGATGCATTTGGTAAGACATGGGTACAAAATGTTGTTCTGTGGTCTTTAAAATTACAACAGCATTACCATAATGACTTAAGATAAGGTATTTTTTGTTACCTTTGTCTAATTTAGAGGCAAAAGATATGACTTGGAGAGACTCTAATAAGTAACCAAACATCTCCCATAATGCATGATAACATGTTATAGTACTACTTGATAGCTAAAGCCTTGCCACTTGCTTACCCAGTGAATACAACAGAGTCCAGGAGAGAGCCTATGAAACAACATGTTGCTGCCAATTACTGCTGTCAGTGTTTTTTGTACTGAATAAAGGTGGTAAAAGTGGTTTACACTGAGGTCATGACTTGAACTGAAGCATCATTATTACGATGAGAAAGATGGACATCAGCCAGACAAGCTTAGGTATTTATACATTAGATATATATTCCTCAGAAATATATAATGTATAGTACCTTGATTTTCTGTACAGCTCTAGTATATATTCATTATGAAATACATTTTTGAAATTGTTCAGTAATTCTGCTTGTGTCCATTGTTGCCTAAACTTCAAGATTATTCCTTTTGCTCTAAAAGAATTTTTGCTCCAGCGATCTCATGTAATCTGCAGTTGTTTTGCGAACAGCAAACTTGAAAGAAAACATAATGATTTAAGTATAAAAGTCATATTTTTGTGATTTTATCTTCTTTAACAGAAAAGCCAACCTCATATTACGTAGGGTGGAGAAGATTAGCCTCTATTGCCGGTCCCTCCTGCGCAGCACCCACATCCAGAGCCGCACCGACACCATGGCGTATGTCTACTGCCGGAGTGAAGAGGCACGACCTCCCACCAATATGTGGCATGGCTCTTTACATGACAGTCGCACTGCCTGCATGGAAAAGCTCATTTCTGTACAGCGTAACACATACAGCAGCACCAAACTCCGATGAGACAGGAGTTACGAAATGAGCAGTTGGTCTTTTGTTTTTTTCTTTTTTTTTGCAAAATGACATCACTGATTGATGTACCTCTTCAGTACACTCTGCAGCAGTTGCCTCTCACTCGACTGTTGCATTTTGCAAATCGATTGAGGCTAAAAGAAAAAAAAAACTCTCACAGGACTTCATTCACTGGACGTTGTGTTAAAGCTACCGAAAAAAATATTTTTGTGTGGCCTACTTTTATTATGAGAAAGAAGATTATCCCAGGAAAAAAAAATCCCAGAACTGACATATTTCTCCAGTGATGCCAGTGATTGCACATATCAATGAGAGACTGCAGAGTGAACATGTAAAATATTATTCAGACAAAAGAAAACTGGTTGACTTAAATACTTTGAATGTAAAATCATAGTTCCTTTTTGGTGCTTTGAAGCTTTCCTGGTACACTTAAAAGAAAGAGGAAAAAAAGGAAATATCCATAGTATAACTTATTTGCCTTTACTACCTTCATTCGAAAGGAGAAACTGAACTGTGTTAAAGCCAAAATCACTTACTTGTTTTTAAGTTCACATTAATTAAGAAGAATAACTACACTTTGCTTCAGGAATTTAAAATCGGTAAGTGAGAAAGCATGTCGTTTGACTTACATGACGTTCGATTGATTCACTTGAAACAGCAAGGACTTGTGTGGTAACAGGATTGATATTTGCCTAGTGAAATTATTATGCAAGACGGAGTAGGTGGCATTCAGACATTATATCCAGACTTTTGAGTTAGCTTTAATTTTATTGCTGAAATGAATGAATCATTTTCTTGTATGACTTTCTCGAACTGCAGTACCTATAGCCATGTTATATTACTTAAGTAATATAAGACTATTAGTATTAGTATAAAGAATTCTGATACTGGGGCGGTGGATGAAATCGAATCTTATATCTAGACTTTTGCAAGTTCATGTAATGTGTTTGTAATCTAATGATAAGTTATTGCTTGTGACTGAAACACGACTTGTCATTGTAGCATAAGTCCTGCAAATTGGAAATATACGAGACGCATATAAGAGAAGCAGTAACAGACCTAAGATTATATCAGATCTAAAGCTAAAACTGAAAATGTTAACTGGTTTTCAAAAGTTCTGCCCTAACAGCAGAATTTATAAATTTTTCATATTTTTGTTTTTGCAGATAAATATAGCAAGCGTGATAATAAAGCAGTAGATCTGACCAACATTTTCCCAACAGTAGAAAACAGGACAATTACTGCTGACCCACATGTAAACATGAGGTACTGTACACTGAAATGTGAAGAATCAGTGATTGTAGGAATCACATGTGGTCTGTTTAATCTTCTTGTTTTTCAGTCCAATAACATATCTTCAAAGCCATGGATATTGTTTAACTGAAGATAAACAATGCCTTTTCAATATGTTCATCTCATGTTGTATGAATTGTAATAATAAATTATTATATTGTAAATTTTCAATTGTAAAAAAAATATGTGTATTATTATGTGGCTTTGTCTTTTTCTGAAGAATGTGAAATATAAAAAAACAACATGTAGAAAATGAGAGGATCTTTCTTTTTCCACTACAACAGACTTAATCGTTTAGATTTAAACCTGGGTCTCAGACAGATCTGAACCACTTACTCAGTCATCGTGAGTGGCTAAAACCCACAACAAACATGTATTCCAATTTTTTTGCCACATCTGCAAATAAAATGTTTTCCTTGTGTATTTGATTTTTTTTTAAATTTTTTTTTTTTTTTTTGCAACGCTTTCCCCATTTTCATTTTATTGGTTATTTCCCACCTGGTAGTTATTTTCCACCTGGTGTGCGATTGTACTGTTGTAATTAAAAATACTTTTGTTTGGAAGCGCATATTTTTCAGTTAACGTCAGTTTCTGGTAACTAATGCAATCCATTAAAAAAAAACAAAAAACAGAGAGAGACAAGGGGACTTTGATGTGTCTTTCCAACACAATAACGCTTGCAAAGTTATTACTGTGAGTGATTGGATAATTGTCACAACTTTCAAACTTAAAAGCCTGTTGAGTACTTTCAGATTTGATACGCTCACACTTCCTTGTTTAATATTGCTCAGTTTTTCAAAAGAAAAAGTGTAAACCCATATCTAAAACCTATAGTGTTCATGAAATCATTTTTTCTGTGGTAAGTATAACGTTTTTTTTTGTGTTAAAACATTCACAACTGATGATGGTTGTTGGAAAGTACTGCATCTTTTGAAATATCTGCACCTACTCAACTTATCCATATGCATTTGCCTATGGGGTAATATTCTTCCACCTGTGGAAGAATATTAACCATATCTGATAGGATATGAGACTTTACACAGTGTTAGTTTATGTGTAGACCTGCAATTTTCTGCCCAAAATAAAGTATCTCAATATGTGTTTGAAGGATCACCATGAAATTGTACGTAATGGTCTCCAAAAATCTTCAAAGCCAGTGACTAATGATCCACAGTAATTTTCCTCTAGATCATCCAAAAGCTTGATATTGGATGTTTTGAGTGCCGTATCTCAAGAACTATTTGAAGAATTACAAAGAATTTTCAAACATTTAAAAACCATGGATCCATCATCCATTATATGGGCACTGACATCACTCAGTAGTCCTTGTTTTATGACCTGTTACCTACACAGCTAAAGCACCTTCCACTTATTTTATGTTTTGTGGTATTTCACAAAATTTAGCATGCTGACATGGTAAACCGAAGTAGTGATTATGACTGCTGCAGACACCATGGATGACTATTAATGTCTGCTATACTTGTGTCACATCCACTTGAAGTCTGCCTCATGGACGTATGTATGTTTAGTGTGGTGTTGTATGATTTCTGCCAAACAAGTCCACCCAAACAATTGGAGTATGAGGCTGACATCCACAAATTGCCTGGTTTTCACCTGTGGATGATGGAATTTACATCACTTGGATTCAAGCAGTTTTCCCTATTGTCAATTATGTGGGAAGCACGACCTGTTAAAATAATGTTAGATGTAACATTATGTAAACCAAGGTTGCCATTGCTGCCAGGCTACAGAATCAGAAAAATTCTGCAAAAAAAAAGATAATCAGTTTATTCTAAGCATCTGTCTTTGCACGATTTTATTACACTGGAACAATAGTTTGAATTTACATTGTACTTTGTTTCATCTAATTAATTAAAATTAGGTTGAAGGAGTAAGCAGTATTGATTATCAATATCCAGCATGTATCAACACACAGAAAATGTGGTGTTTTATAGTTGTGGTTGTGCTAATTAAATGTGGCTCATATGACTAATGTGCCCGACTTGAAATGACACGGACCTCACAGGAGAGAAGCCCATGGTATGCAAACCACTACAATGAAGTTGCACAATATCGGAGCAATAACTGGATCACAATTAATTAGAATGAAAGGAAAATGAGGCGCTGATGAAAATGGCTGTAAGCAATTGTAGAATAGAGTGCAATTCTGTTATTTCTTAAGTTTTACCCAATTTGCTGCATGCTCTAGCAGAAAAATATTTACATTGAGTTGGAAAGGGGGAAATCAGTCACTGAACTACCAGCTATCCCCTATGAATTACACTACCGGTAAATTATGTCATTAACTGAAGGTCTTCATGTGAGCTGCTGGGAAGCATTTTCTCTTTCCACCTCCCTCGACAAACTATTCCTTTACGCTCAGATCCAGTTTCTTTCCAGTCATGCAACATTAACCGCACTTTAAAAATCAGTAGTTTGATGTTCATTCTCACAAACTGGGCCATTAGGCTCATTCAAGAGCCAAGAGCACCACTCACATTTCCATGCCAATGTATCAATGAAGGATGACAGAATGAACAAGAATGAGTTCTATATAAAAAAATCTTCCATTGTGTGCATTAAAGCTTAGGTCCTCTCCTATAAGCCTGGAACTCTGAGGATTCTGCGCAGTATCTTAATTGTTCCTAGGACTCCACTCTTCTGGATAGGCACCTCTATTTTGTGTCTGGAATCTGCTGGAGCCACACTTCCAGCTTTGGAGTCACAGTTCCTCATACTCCTATTACCACAGGGACCCCTTTAAGCTTTACCTTCCAAATCTTCTCCATTTGTTCCTTCCCCCAAGTGTTTTCCTAGGGGAGACTCATGCTCCTTCTTTCTGTTGTTGTTATCCGCTGGAATTGCCACATCTGTTCCTTGTCAACCACCATTTTCTGGTTTGTTGGCTAGAAGCTGCTTGTCTGCCAAAAACTGGGATGTCAGCCCTGTTGTTCTCAACACCTTCACTGGTGTCTCCCATATGCTGGATTAGAAGTGGATCGGATAATCTAAAGATGTACTGGTACACTTATATCCTGCTACTATGTGGTGGATAGTGAGCCCTGTAGTTGTGCTGCCATGATCAGAGCCTGTGTGTTGTCCTTCATGTTAGCCTTTTCTAGTCACTGCCTGGATTTCTGGATGTCAGCCACTTCTTGCATCTATCCATGGCCAGTGTTGGGTGTAATGCGTTACTAAGTAACGCGTTACTGTAATTAAATTACTTTTCCACTGAAAAAGTAGAGTAACTAATTACTGTTCATTTTTAGGTATTTTACTTACAATGTACTTGCGTTACATTGTAAAATAATTAAACTCGCTGAATATGATTGTTTAATTTCAATAATTTATCTTCTAAACGTAGAAGTAAACTCTGCCGCTTTAACATCGCTGTAGTGCAGGTTCACGTCATTTCGCGCCAGTTTGCTGCATAGTCGTATTCTAAAGCGGAAGATGTCGGACTCGGTTGAAGCGAGTGGCTGTTTTATGAAATGGACATATTCCCGTCTCTTCACTTTTCTGAAACAAGCAGACAAGAATATTACAGTAATATGAACACTTCTGAGTGATCCTTGTTCATCATCCATGGATAACTCCATGGCAACTCCTGCTAAGCAGGCAAACCTTGATTTTACTTCAGCAGCACAGAAAGCGTCTGAAGGTGAGCTTAAAAAAATGATTGCAGGCTATATTGTGAGATGCTACATCTGCGTACTGTAGAGTCTCCGTCTTTAAAAAAAATTATTTATTATTTAAAGAGTTTAATTTCTATTGTTTGCCCACTCAAGGTTTATAGGGATTTTAAGAAGTATTTAGTTAAATTACTTATTTAGTAATTAAGTTACTTTTCTGGCACAGTAATTCGATAAGTATTTTAAATACAATATTGACTTAGTAATTAGTAATTAATTACTTTTTTAAAGTAACTTACCCAACACTATCCATGGCACAATCCATGCAGGAACTTGGTCTTCCATCATAGTTCCTGTGGCCACCTTATTATGCAAGGTGGGTGACCAGTTAGAAATGAGGTATTAGTAGCTTTCGTTTTCCAGAGCCATTTTGCTGTGTCCACCAGATGCCAGTTTTGAGTTGCTTTATTTTATTATCTGATATTATAGCACTGAGCTACCAGGGCCTTTGTGGTCAAGGTGGACATGGTCTTCTGTTCATCCAATATTTACCATATGGGTAAATGGACTGGTTCTTATATAGCGCTATTCTACTCTGAGCACTCAAAGCACTTTACACAACTTGCCTCATTCAACTATTCGCACAAGCACTTTCTTCTATGGACTTTGTCTGCAATTGCTTTTTATCTGACATTCACATGCATTCATGCTATGATGGATGTATCAGATAGCAAAGTATCTGATAATCAGCAACCCTCTGATTAGTAGATGACCTGGTCTACCACCTGAGCTACAGCCTCTCGCATTGGTTTGGCTGGCACAGTATTAAGCTGAGAGGCATCCAAGTCAGTATGGCTTTGTTTATATGTCTCTCTGTCATGTTCCAAAGTAGGCTCAAGTTGCATTGGAGTCTAGCCTGGGGACCCTTACGGAGTGCAGTGTTGAGTGTGATTTAAACCCCATGAGGGCCCGTTGCTTCCAGCTGATGTTACCTATAGCGTAGACCTAGCAAGCTAATCTAATTTCAAGGAATGACCTGAAATTCCTTGAAATTTGGGGACAGCAAACAGCATGGACAGCATTTGGAAAGGTTTTATACTGAAGCTTGAATCTGTTCAAGCTTCTTACACACTGACAAAAGGAAGTTGCTAGCTACTTACAAGGCTGGACCCACATCTTTTTGTCTATGCAGCGTTGTCTGTCAATGATTAAAAAATATTGGAACTTTTTAAAAAAAAAAAAAACAGACCACAGACATCCAGCATTATGCTCACTTTAACCAGTGTTTTATTTCTACACAATAAATGACAGCAAAATGAACATGATACTCATCTTTATGACTCTTTTATGAAAATATAGCACATATCAGACATGTTTTGCAATGTACCAGAGCACCAAAAAATATATAATTGCAACTGTGACACAACAGAGAGAACAATCGGCTGAAACATAAAAGTCCAGTCTGTTGTATATGTGCCTGAAAAGTGCATACTGTGTAAGAAAAAAAGTGAGAGGAGGTCATCTGAGGGAGCAAGGGCCCACTGAGTTTGATGGCTACCTTTACAGTGTCGGTGAAATTCTCAGCAAACACAAAAGCATATGGATAAGACTCAGTAACATACAGTATGAAGTGAAGATAAATGAAATTTTTGTTGGTTAGTGTCAGTCAACTCAGACAAATGTGAAAGGAACTTTTCAATACATAATAATGTTAAGTTTAATTATGAGGATGAATCTGAACAGACTGCTAAGAAATTGTTATGATATTATTCATCTAAAAAACAAATAATTTATTACACAATGGATAAATTCATGGTTAAGACAGCTGACAACAGTACTAGAATTAAGCCATTAGGAACAAATAAATGCAGACAAGTGGTGTGGTAAAGCATCACTTTTTTGTGGTTTTCTTTTTTTTTTTTGCTTTTTGTTTAGTTTTTGGTTGTTTTTTTTTTGTTTGTTTTGTTTCTGTCTTGCAGGTGATACTTTGACACAATGCACAACATTTCACGGTTCATTTCATTGTATAATAGTTATGATAAAAATCAATCGGAGACCTACTCCCAAACAGTTAGTACATGGTTTGCAAATACAATCATCATATAATATTACTATTTACATCTTAAAATATATTTGTTGAGCAACTGAGTACGAAACATTGCAGTAATACCACTAGATACCCACATACTATGCAAATACACTTTTTTTTGTAGGTCCAACTCCGAAAAAAAGGGCAATCCAACTTTTTTTTTATTTTTTAATTGATCTACTGAAGGTTTAGGAAACAGAGATAAGGGACCATTCTATAACAAGAGGCCTGTGAGAGGTACTTCATGTCTTACAACACGCATAGACAATTTCTTACGAGATGGCACACCAGTATTTTTCTCCACAAAGATTTGTGCAAAAACATTAGGTATTTAGACACACTTTCTCGCACTCTCCACTGCACTTTAAATGAGTTAGACACAACGTTTCCGACATTTTTTTTTAACATAACATAAAAAGCCAGGTGTTAAATGAAAAGCAAAAAACAAACAGTTGTTGATGGAGATGTGGAGAATTACTAAAGCCTTGCAAAAAATGTTGCCATAAACGTCATATTATGTGATAAGCATATGCTGTAGGTGAGGCGAACTGTTGTTGCTTGAGCCTAGCTTCAAAAGACTCTGTAAGCTGGGCAAACATCCTCTCTAATTTTCACAGGGCAAGCTTGACCCTGCTTGCCCTAAACAGGCATGCCTGACAGTGACAGATGAGGCAGTGTGTCGAGGTGTGGGGAGGTAGAGGTAGCAAGGGGGTGGGAGGGGTGGTAGGAGTCCCAGAGAGATATGGTTGCCAACCCCAGGAGAAACTCTGACTCACTGGCCTCGGCGTGTTGCCAGTCAGGCTGGCCACCTCTGGCTTAGGGGCAGCCTCTGTGAGTACACATTTTCACACCTGGACAAATAGCAAGACAGGCCAGGAAAAGCAGTCCACCCATTCCTACCTCTACCCCTACCCACCTTCTACTTTTCTGCCATCCAAGAACGCTCACCATCACCTGCCTACTGACCTCCAGTCCAATTTTCCCCCTTAATTTTCAAGCTCTTTCTTTGCCATTTGCCAACGTTCTTCTGTCCTCAGCTGCCTGTTCCTTATGCATTACAATGGTTTCTCAAAACGTTACTTGTTACATTATTTGTAGTTGTACTCAGCCATTATATGGTTAAAACTCACTGCATGTGTGTGTGTGAATGTATTGCTTGTCTGCCTCTGTGTGTGTTTTACAAAAAATGAGAAACAAAGAAAACGAAACGTTTACATTCTAGTTTTGACGGAAAAAAAAATACACTGCACTCAGTAACATTTAAATATGGTGAATCATCACTGTTTGCAAGCAATATCCATCTACACATATTGAGCAACGAGAGAAGTTCTTTCTGTGGTTGTTGGTCTAAATTGTACTGTTTATGTCTTATCAGTGCTTGACAGCATTGATCACAATATACTGTGACAACAGAGACAGAATGACAGTTTTGACTCGCAACCTATAATATGTTGGTTTATAGGAACAATGTAAAAAATAACTTACATGGACATTAAATATAACTTAAAAAAGTATAACACTCTCAATAAATAGTTCTACTATTTACACCATTGTTATGAGACTCAAAATGTCGCTAAAATACCAAAAATATAGAAGCAGCAAACATTACAAGCATGAGGTACAGCAAGGGATCGTGTGATGACTACAGTAGAGAGGTGACGTCCTCATCCAATGCACGACTGTATAATTTCTCTCATGACTATCGTGGTTAGCTATGGCTTATGGGTACCTTTGCAAATATAAACAAAATGATTTTTCAAGTTGACATTCAGTCACATTCTGCAGACTTTCTTGGTGATAACAATCACTTGTTTTGGTATCCAGATATCAGCTGATGATGCACATAATGGCTGAGGAGGATATTTCTAAATGATTCTAAGTATGTGGAAGCAACAACAGATTACTCTTTTTTTATAGAGTGAAGGAAAGGGTCCAATGACAGGTTTCAGATTCATCCCAGCTGGAATGGCTTTCCAGTAACCTCAGTGGCAAATGATGAACCACAGTACTGCATATTACTGGTATGGCGTAGTGAATGTAGGTCAGTCTCCCCCCACTGGTGACAGTTTTGTGTAAAGCAGCAGAATCTGGAGTACTAATATTACATATAATTTGATAATATAATATAAGACATTTTTACCAGGACTATATGGTATTCAATAAAGTGTTAAATGCAATCTTAAAAGTCTTTGTAAATGACTTTACAAAGACTTTCAAGAGTCCCCGTTAACGGGAATTTCTTCATTTACACGCTTCTTCAACATCTCTTGGTTTCTCTGGCACAATGTTCACCTTCGGCCTTAGATAACATATTACACAAACACCAAGGAAACTAAAGATAAATAAAATTTTAATCTAACTAGATCTTAATTACGTGATAACTATTTTTAAATGTGTACTAATGTGTATCCAGTTGTCTTGGATTTGGGGCTTCATTGGATTATGCATAAAGGGATATATGTTTCACAACGACAGCACCTCCATACTTCATTAATAAAATCAAATGCACCATATAGGTCAGATACGAGAAAGGAAAAAAACAAAACAACAGAATAGCAACACAAGGAGTCAAATGGCCAAATATCATACAGTTTGATTCAGGTCACCATTTTGACAATAGCAGCGTCTAAACATTTTTGAAATATTTACTTTTCCCCCCTTACATGACAGCTAGAAAGTGCAGTAACTGAGGTCAATAGTAGAAACACTGATTTAATATGACATTTTCTTAAAATGAAATGCATGAAAAAGGACAAAAAACCCTCCTGTCCAAGAACATATAGCAATATTTACACAATATCTTGATTTTTTTTCCTTTATATTTGGTGGAAAATAATACCTTGACTTTTTTTTATATGTTCTGGTATTGACTTGTTTTATTGGTTCTATTGCGCTGACACTACAATTTAGGACCAGGTATTTATGAGAATGATCTGGAATTCTATAGCAGCCTAATGTTTGTCACAGGGACTGTGCCACTGGCCCAAGTTTAATGAAATTAAATGTATATTCAAGCCATGAATATGATTTCAGCCAAATAGGAGCAGCAAACAGTGGACCAATATGCTAAGCAGCCTTCATTATCAAATGTGCATGAGAATAAAACTCGTGTGTATGTGTTTGGATAGAAGAGTAATAAGATACCGTGCTATTGTAGCAGCCGTGTAGTCTGACAAAATCTAGCACAATGGGGCCAGAAAACCCAAGATTCACAATACTGAGAAGAGCTGATCAGAACAAGCAAGTGCACTTTGTACTGAAGAGAATAGTTTCAAAAATTACTTAAAGACGACACAGCCAGAAAACGTAGGGAGCTTTGATTGTGTTGTGACTGCAAATGGCGTGTTGACATATACATCCAAATGTCATTTTCATGTACAACCTTGTTGCCTGCAGAGCTAGAATACTACGGCATCCAATAGTCCTGAGGGGGAGAGAAAGAGAACCTGTTTATATGATTGCGTACATAAGCAATGTGTTGTGGGGCAGATATGGTCTTTGACCTACGCTCTCTCTCACAGACTATATCCACCCCTTCAACTCGGTACTCCTGTGTGACTGTGCTGTGCAGTACTGTGTGCTCAAGGAAGCCACAGACTACAGGAAAGCACTTACTACATTCGGAGAAGGACTGGGATGTTTTTAATTTCAGTTTAAACAGTTTGAATCGGGGCTTGAGGTAACAAAGTTCTTATCAAGCGTCGCAAGGGATGAGTTGAAACTGAAACTAAAATCATGCGAGCCCAAAGTGAGGTGTTATCGATGACATTCCTTAAGTCGTGATCAATGTATGTTGTATTTTTCTTGTCTTTTTTTTTGGGGGGTGGGGGGGGGGTGTCTGGGGGGGGGGGGGGGGGGGTGGGGTACTAGGTGAAAGACGCGAGGACAATTGAGGTTCTGGATTTCTTTTAAAGTTCTTAGTGCATTTTATATGTGGTGTTGTCAACATGTGTTCTAATGCAGTCTATGTTAATGTGAGCAAATGTATTATGAGCAAACATACAAGTGTGAATGAATGCTGTGAGGAGGTACTTTAAGCAACAAGGAAGACAAAGCTGTCTAACCCAGTTAAATGTTATTATGTGAAGATGGGCAGTGGTGAAAGCCCTAAAATGTTTTCACTATGCTTTTGGGATTTTGCTCTATACTTATGAAATCGTCTTCGGAAACTGTTTCTGTGGCTAGCTGTGGTTTGTGTGCGCCTTTATATTTTGGGTTTTTGTGAGTGTGTTGAATCTGCGACTTCCAAATTAACATGGCTCTCTTATTCCCCACCAAGATCGAAATAACCTGAAGCCTCTGATGTGCCAGTGAAGAAACACACTTTACTTATGGTGACACACAGATATAGAATATCTGACCAGCACCAACTTCTAGCCCCTCCAAAAAAAAAGTTGAACAAGCTTTCAGAGTGTGTGAGGATTATTTTTAACATTTGTCTTAACTTCCTTCATATTTCCAAAACACAATCAATGCTATCCTTCACGTATGCATTTTGATATACCTTCAATCACTTGATTGTAGAGTAAGGTCACTAAAATAGACACTAAAGCCAGCACAAAACTCAACAAAAGGCATGCTACCTAGGCTTGGTTATGTTGTTGTTGTTGTTGTTGTTGTTCTTTTTTTTTGTTTTGTTTTGTTTTGTTTTCTCTTTTTTTTTTTCAAAAATGTCTGCTTCATGTAATTCATTTTATTTCGTGTTTTTTTTCTTGCTTTGCTTAATGTGTACTTTAATGATTTAATGTATTGCAGGGGTTACTTTCCTTTAAGCTGAAAAATGAAGGTATTATGGAGTCCCATCTTCTTTTCTGTATCTTTCGGTTGTGGAGAGATGGAGGCATTTCAGCAGGTTGGGGTTGCAGTATGGATGGATGGAGAGGTATGCCTTGTAAGCAGCATGTGCAGGAAATCGAAGGCCAAGAAGAGGATGAAGGAGAGTCTGCCTCAGCCACTTTGGCTATGTGGTGTTGGGGAAAGGGTCCTAGGTTGTTGAACAAAGGGTCCTTGCTAAGGTTGGTCACCCCAGGTAGTGGACATGCTCATCCTTTCTGTTCTCTACAGCATTGGGATCCCGACAGGAACACTCATCTCGTAAGTCACAGGACATTGGGAATGGAATCACCTGCGTAGAGAATGAGAAACTTAAATTCATATGTAATTGCCAACTTTAGAGCCCATCTATCCATTTTTTTAATGCTTATGAAGTTGTAAGCTCACAAACACAAACACATGCTCTTTATCCTCAAAACAGAAGTTGTCCAAATATTCTTAGTCAAAACCTGAACCCTACCTAATCCTGAAGCTAAACTGTTACATCCTCAACGTCACTATAGTAACACTTCTTCATAACCTCAATGTACAACACCAGCTCCAAGAGAGTTTGGACGATGTGTAAAAAAACCAAAAAACCCCAAAATGGAATAATTTGCAAATCTCATAAAGCAATGTTTTATTTTAAATAGAAGATAGAAAACCATTGTACCATTTTCTGCAGGAACATTTTACAACTAATTAAGTTAAATGGGAGCATCCAGTAATGTGACTCCACATAAAAACAGCATCTTAGACAGGCAGAGTTTCTCATGAATATAGAAGGGGAGTGGATCCCAAATCACAGAAAACAAAACAAAACAAATATCAACTACAATGCATAATCCCAAAAAGTTGATTCTTTGCATCTGGACATAGCGTTTTTAGTGGAGAAATGTTTCATCACTCATCCAAATGACTTCTTCAGTCTCAGCTGACTGCAGGTTTCCCCAACCTTATAAACAGTACATTTGCACAATGACTGACACTAGCACCACTGACAAACAATGAGCTGTGAGGTTAGTTTCATAATCATAATATGTCCATTGTCATGACCGTTGATCACAACCACTGATCAAAGACGATTAGTAGCATTCACAGAGAGTTGGGCATCCCTAGCATCCAACATCAGCATGGAGGACAGGAAGCCACTCACATCACTTAGTAATGACCAGATGATGAAGTATTTGAAATGTCCATATCTGGAGGATTGAGCATGCATCAAGACACAATACATAATATTATCAAAAGAATATGGAGCACTATAGACAAAGGTGAAGATCTGGATATCTTTGGGCCCTCAGGTTACACTACATTAAAAACTGGCATGATTCTGTTATCAGTGCATGATTTCAGGAACAGTTCCAGAAATCCTTTGTGAACACAGTTCACCATGCTGTTCACAAATGCAGCCTAATGCTCTGTCATTCAAAGAAGAAGCCATATTATCATTTTAAATGAACCAAAGTTCAATGCTGCTCTTTGGTCACAGCAATCAAACTTGTATTTATTTACTGAAAACATGGATGCTGTATGCTCTGGACCATGAAGAGGAAAGGGACCATCCCACTTGATGTAACTGCTCAGTTCAAAAGCCTGCATCTCTTATGTTATGGGATACATAAGAGATGTGTAAACTGGCAGCTTGCACATCTGCAAAGATGCATCGATATTGAATGCCATATACAAGTTTTAGAGCAATATATACTCCCATATGGATGACATGTTTTTTAATCAAGGCCTGTCAAACAACATGGCTTCATAGTAGAAATGTCCAGGTGCTGAACTGGCCTGCCTGCAGTCCAGATCTTTCACCAACTGAAAACATTTGGCGAACCATGAAAAGAAAAATACAACAAAGAAGACCCAGGACTGTTTGAGCAGCTAGGATCCTCTATCAGACAAGAGCTGGACAACATTCCTCTCCCAAATGTCCAGCAACTGGTTTCTATTTACATTTTACACAACATTCCAGCTTTTTTGAAATTGGGGTGGTAAAATATGAAAATAAGAAAAAAAAATGTCTGAGAAGGGTAGCACCATGAAACTAATGGGCAATTACATCTAACAAGTCTTTTCATGCTAGACATTTGCAGTACTTTATGTGATGCCATCAAACAGTAGTGTCATTCTACTATGAGGTGACTTTAGGTAAGTGTTTGGTCTTTTTTTCAACATTTTCTGCTCATAGAAGACTCATGATATTAACCATACTATTACAGCAATTGATCCCCTTGTTTTTTCTGATAGTCTTATGTCAAAGTGAAATCCTGCAGGTGAACACAGAACCGGAAGATCAGTGGACATTGCCTCTGGCTTTGACGTCACTAGATAACGATGGTAATGCGTCACTAGCACCAGCTGCTGCTGACTTGTCTGCCCACCTCTTGGGGGGCCTGCTTCAGCTGATTCGGTACACAAAATGTGTCCTTCATCTTCAGGCCAAACAAGAAACACGTGTGGTCCAAGCAGTGAAAGGCAGCCGGTGAACCAAGGATGTCTGCATTTTGTCCTAGGCTTGCTATCAATGTCATTTCTTTCACGTTAGAGCAGACTGATACTTCATTTTTTGCACAATGAGTTTCAGTATACACTGTAAATGTATAGAACCTGGTCAGTGCAACCAGCAGATTCTAACAGCACGTCTCAAGACAAAGACAGCTATTAGTGAAAGCTATCTGGCTACTAGAGGATGAGTTGTTTCCAGGAGAGGATCATTGTGCTATTAACTAAATACGGAGTAGCTGCTGTATAATTACTGAGACTACTCCTATGCCATCTTACAAATTACACCATGAGCTCATACTATCTAAAAATTTGAATTTCCCATCAACTAAAAGATGCTGTTAAAAACTTAATTTGATCTACAAACACACACTGATTGATTTCTTGTCTACAACTAAACAATTTTATCAGATCTTCAAGTTTCTGATAGTTTTCATTAGATTCCGTTTAACTATAATGGAATTGTGTAGTGCAGAGGTCCAAAGCTTGGGAGAGTGAGGTAAAACTGGAAGAAAGGTGGTCTGCTGATAAGCAAACAGTCTCTAAGCTATTACAGCTTCAGCCACAAAGGCTTAAAGATCAGTCAACCAGCTTCCAGTGGCTAGGAAAAATATGTATCCTCTGATCGCTTGGAAAGTGGTTTTTGGAGGTTGCTGGCTATCTCCAGTGAGTCAAAAAGAGGGTGCTGCACCAAAAACATTCTGTAGCATTGATTTGGCTACTGCATCTTTTGAAATGTGTTGGTTGCAGTGTTAAGGAACAGCATTTACTTTGGAGTCAAGCATTGTAATGCGTAGCCTTTTTTCCTCAGCCACACGTTTCATTTTGCATGGAATCTGCTCATATCCAGTGTACAGTTTACATTGTACAGAATTTCATTACCACTTGATGAGTGTTTGCAGATACGACAGTAGTCTTCCTGACCAGCGAGAGCTACTGTCTAACAATAATTTGGAAACTAATGTCAACTACTTGTACTCACTAGTAGTTGGTGATTGTGCAAACTTCTGGTGACTGCAGCTACCTGCTAGAAACCGACGCATTTGCAAAGAGATTTTCTGTGTAGCGCCATTTACCAATATGCCATATACCGCTACATACCAGTTTGTGACAGTTTCACACTAGCAGCTGCCAGCAACTTGTATTATACATCTACTATACACTTTTCCACAGTGGCCAGTAGTTTCCAGGGGTCAGTGACCCGCTTCAAGGCTTGCATGACTGAAATAAGGCGTGCTAGCCTTATAATATATATATAAAAAATTTGATTTCATAGTACTTTTCTAAAAAAAAATAATTAGAAAAGCAAAATTTGAAATTGCTTTAGATTGCAGTTAAAAGAAAATGCTTACAACCAAAATGTTATACCTTCATTGGTGCCAAGTGACATAAAATAGGGGCAATAATTTTAAGAATTGGGACTTTATTGACAGCGGGTCTGTGGGGGAGCATGCTAGTCACAGAGGAGCAGTGACGCAGGTTCTCCTTTGAAATTAGGTATAAAATAAGTTGTTTATGTGTGGGGCGGTGTTCTTAATGTCAGGGCCAGGTGGGCAGTGCCCAGACTCCTCTGAGAAAATGAGGCCTACGTGTGATGACTTTACAAGCCCAAGGCCAGACACACTTCAAAAACAGCTGTCAAATGCATGACCAGAGTTTCCTTTGTAGCATTTTGAAGCCAAGAACATGGGGTTCCTCATTCCCGTACAACTCTTTCCTAGTTTAATTACAAAAATTCTGAGTTTCACACATCCACATTGTTTGTTTTGGAGTGTCTCGCTTGCTGTGTCTTGCTTTATTATTCACCTTCTCTTGCAGCACAATATCTCAATACACTTCCCATTCCTTTATTTCTCCTCCAAGGGCAGTTCTGTTTATCTCTCAATCTAGAGAGTGATGGTGGGTGGCAAATTTGACATGGTTTCCTTTGACCTTGACCTCCAGGGTGGCTGCGCCAGCTGCCACATCTGGCCCTGACTTAAGGTTCTCTCAGGGTGGCTGGGAAATTAGACTGACTGACTGGCCTTGTGGGCCTGGGGGCCATCGTGCTGCCCTATGTCCCTGGGCTAGAGAAGGCCTGTGTGAGGACACCCACTTGACAGCAACATGAAAGCCCTTCAGAAGAACACAGACTTTGTCAGAGCCACATCCTTCAATTTCAGGAACAGGTCGAAATAACAGAGTTCCTATTGACATGTCTGTGTTTGCAGTTTGTGTGTTTAAGCCAGCGCTTAAAGGAAAGAAGGTGGCTTTTTGGGCAAAGGGCTGGGAGAAAGGGAAATGGCTTATCTAGAGATCTAGAGATACCCAACTGTTTATTACGTAAATTACATAAATAAGATTATTAGAGGGAATTATAAAAATATATATGGCTGCTTACATGTCATTATAGATTAGAGTGTGTTAATACAGATGTTTTGCTTTCTTATTCAGTCTTTATCTAGAATTTAAGATATAAGCAAAACCTAACCAGTGGCATGTTCATGCTCCTACATTCATATATTACATTCACAGGTCTCAAGATTTCAAAGAATTTTTTGTCACAGCACAAAGAGCCCTAGTGTACTGAAAAACCTAAAAATTAATTATCAGTGAAATCTTACAAGTATATGAGTCTGAGATAACCGAGGCCATTAAGAAATTTAAATTAAAAGTCACAGACTGTAAAAAAATATGCTATAAATACAAAATTGGAATGACAGCGAGAGACAGAAAGAACTATGGGCAAAAATAAAGTTGTTACAGATTAGATATGGAAGGAAAAAGAGCCACTTAAGAACCAAAGAACACATAACTAACTTTTGGCAA